TTCTCCTGCTCGCACTTTCCGACCCACTCAGGCTCCTGCGCCCTGAACACTGAGCAGCCTTGCTTCTCCTGGCCCTGCTCCTTCAAGGTTCCTGTCCTGAAGCCCGCCCCCAGCAGATGAACGCAAAGCCGGGTGGCACTGCCCTTCGAACTTGTAGGTGTTGGATGTATTGTCCGAAACTGGAAAGCAGCGCAGAACAACAGGTGATGAAGGCAGTGAGTCTTTCAATGCTGGGAAAACTTATTTTAATAAGAGGTACTAATCCTATTTTATTTTTTATTTACTATGTAGTAGGAGAATTTCCAGCAAGTGTTTGAAAGAACCTAGTTTCAGAAACAGATTGGAAGTTGAATTGAGGACAAATTGCTATGCTGTGCAAACCTCTGTGAAGCAGACATGTGTGCTGGGAGGTGCAGACAACAGGAACTGACTTTGGAGCCAATATTGAGCGTGTTGTCTGTGGGGACACAGGTGATGTCAGTGGAAGCAGTGAGGGCAGGTTCCTCTGCATGGACTCACGTATCTGCACTGTGATCTGCACTCTGCCTGTAGCAAGCGAGGCAGACTCAGGCACGAGAGATTGGGGAGAGGAGCCGTGGTGGGAGGGCAGAGTCATTATGTCAAAGCCAGGCCAATAAAATGACTTCACCTTCCGGGTTAGTGTGCTCAGACTTAGCTACACCAGGTGGGTCAGTTTATGGGTTCTCAGGAGCAGGAGCATATTTCAGCCATCAGGAGAAGAGAAAACTGATTTAGACTTCTGAAAAACCAGTAAGACTGTGTCATCAATTTGAGAAATATGTATTTATTTATTTAGTACTTAAATGTTTGATACTTTATGCATTTAGTAGTTGTCAAAAATCAAACCTGGGATATCTCAGAAAACTCTCTGCAACATGAAGTTTTATAAATACCAACCCTTATTCCACTTCTATAAGTGATCAAACAAATTCAGTGACAGCAGCATTACTGCAGAGCTCTGTTTTTGAGAATCCCGTGAAGAAAAGGAGCGGAGTGTGGAAGTCCGGGCCCAGTGAAAACTGCACAGTGCAGAATGGGGTGGGGGCCGCTCCTCGGTTCCCAGCTCTTTCACTTGGTCACTCTGTGGGCACCAGGGACTCACGTGTCTGTGCTCCTCTTATTCCTGCCATGACCGGGAGGCTGTAGTGGGAAAACCTGCCTATTTTATCAGTATAGCAAAAGAGGTCCCTACAGTGACTGAGGCAGGTTCATTGCAAATGGTGAAAACATAGAAATTATTTTTGTGCATGGGCAGCACTTGTAGAATTTTTTTTCATGCCAAATATGTACGTGATTATGCCACAGACCAGGAGACTGTTTCTCTGCAGTCACATTCTCCTGAGTGACGTTGTGTCACTGGGAATAAGACACAGCTTTCCTTCATACCTACTTGGAAAGACTTTTATGTGAAGATATTCATATTCTTTGTAGGATCAAGGGGAAAATCAGTCTAAACAGGTGGTAAAAGATACACAAGATGTCTAAAAGAGTGAGTTTTAAACAGCAAAATAATCTTACTGGAGCTTGAAGAAAATTTTCACAATCTTTCTCCATAGTTTATCTCCTTTTTAAAATTCTTTTTTATTTATTTTTTTGTTTTGTTTTGTTTTGTTTTCTGGTACTAGGAATTGAACTCACCACCTTGTGCTTGCCAGGCAGGCACCCTGCCGCTGAGCTAAATCCCCAGCCCCTTTACCTCCTTCAAAACATTTCTATTTCAATACATTTTTACTTCTTTCATTTCCGTTTTGCTTTCTTCGTAAGTTTATTGATGCATTTTAGATACACATAGTGATCACATTCCTCACAGGGAAATTGCATTTGTACATAATATATCTTAATTCCTCTCATTTTCCCATTCCTCCCTGCTCCCTTCAACCCCTCCTCCTCTCCTTATTTACGAAAGCTTTGTTTTCAATTTTTCTTCCTTCTCATATTTTCCTTTTCCCCTCCTTCCTTTCCTCTTCCTCCTCTCTAGTTCCTTTTTGAATTTATGCATGTTCTTCAAATTTTTCAATATCTATTATACATTTGGTTTCTTATTTATCTTTTTGGCTTCTCACACCAGAGAAACAATGCCATATTTTCTTTGTGGAGCTACCTTATATCAGGATTATTTTATACCCATGTTTGAAAAGTAACTTAAGCAGAGGTTTAAAATATGTTTAAATACATAGTTACATAAATATACACACTTGTGTTCATTAAAATGTTCCTAATCAACATACGTAATAATATGCACAATCAATAAATTCCAGGCCTGGCACTATCCTTTCAGGTCGGACAGAGCCCTGACCCAAGGTCTGCTGCTTCTCGGTGGTGTTGACTCCATCCACAGTCTGCCTGTAAACTCTTCCTCCCCTGTAACTGCGGGCACCCCTGCCTTCCACATTCCACAGCTTGAGGGGTATAGAAGAAAATCAAAGCAAGTGGAAATGTTTCAAATGGGTTTCACATTGGTTATCAATAGTTATGATTAATAGTAATAGGTAGTTGATAGATTTTTTTATGGAAAATATTCTTCTCTGTCACTGAAACAAATATTGGATACCTGAGACTGAATCACTGGCAGGAAGAGTGCTTGAGTATTATGCACGCAACACACTATGGGGCTGTATGGGAATATTTTGCTGTAGAACTTGGATACTCACAGAGATGCTCATTGGTGCTCCTGAGGTAGGGTATGGAAAATCAGATCCGATGTGGCATTTGTTTTTCTGTTCATTGCTCCAATTTTCAAGCTGTAAATAAGGATAAATGTCTTTGCAAGGCCAGGGTGTCACTCACACAGCTACTCAAGCAAATGGTGATAGGACTTGCTGCAGGATTCAGTGTATTAGTATTTCTAATATTGCACTTACTACTTGCTGAACATTCAATGTCTTACAAAAGTCACTGGAATTGGATCAGTCTCCCCTTATTTTGTTTCTAATGCAATTTATATATAACCATAGTTAATTTCTTATTATCTTATTTTGAAATTCTATATCATTCTATTGTTTTTTTCTTTAAATAAAAAACTTAGAAAATAATATATTCTACTACATTTTCTTTGCCAGTTTCCACAAATCAAAGAATAATGGAATGTAAATTACTCTAAGGCAGTTCAGAGTACTGATTCATGGACCTTCAGCTGTATTGGGAATCCACATACAGAAAATGTTAGGACATTAGAGGGCTGTGGTTACTGTATTAAGATAAAATACTTTGGCAAAATTTACTGTTTTATTTACTTCCCTGTGCACCGTTCTGTAGCACTAAGTACATCTGCACTGTTCTGCATTTACCAAACCACACGTCTCCAGAACTTGTCCATCTCCCTGAATTAAAACTGTTACACAATCTACCTCTCCCCTCCTCTCTGTTCACCCCACCCTCCACATCCAGCTCTTCACTCTCCATCGCTATGAATTTGACAGTGGTGAGTACTACAGAGACGTGAATTCACACAGTATTTGTCTTTTTGTGGTTGGCTTGCTTCGCTTAGCATAATGTCATCAGAATGTATCCATGCTATACCATGTGTCAATGTTTATTTCCATGGAAACAGTGCTGGTACTACAGTGGATATACACAACACATTCCGTTCATGAACTGAATTAAATTGTTTACCCTTCGTGTATATTGTGAAATATGCTCATTTGAAAATGGATATGGAGAGAATCAGGTTCACATTCCAATGCAGAATTACTAGATCACGTGTAAATCTTGTCTGTTTTTGAGGAATTGCTATATTGTACTCCACACTGTCAGTACCAATTCTCCCTTGCACAAAAATGCAGAATGATTTCCATTTTCTCTGCACTTCTAGTGAAACATACATTGTTTCATTTGCTTCACTAAGGAAAGGTCCTCACTGAGTGTGCAGTGATGCTTCATTGCGATTTTGATTTATGTTCCCAAAAGACTGGTACTGATCCTCTTTCACTTAGCCTTTTTTCACTTGGATGAATTCTTTGGAAAAATTCAGAGCAGTGTTAAATTTCTCACGTGGAGGAAGGACTTGAAAGAGAAAGAATAATAATGAATATTGAAACTAAAAGGTATGAGCTACTATGATATTATATCAGAGGAGCGTGTCCGTGAGAATTCATCATCTCTTTCTGAAAAAGGAAACTTTCAATGATATCTTACCCAAAGGAAGTTTGACACTAGAATTTTGGGCAAAGACTATATCAAAGAAGGATATTATTTCATTAAAACAAGAGTTTACAGTGTGAACCAATAGAATTTAATCTGAAACAAAGTTTAAGAAAAAATCATGAGGTTTTAAAGAGTTATTCATAATAGAAATTGTACTATGATGTGTTTTTAAGTAGGTTTCTTAGCATAAATTTTG